ATCGACTAACGGTCACTAACTACCACACATAAATGCTTACGTTTATAGCATTCAATTAAATTTCCCAACAATTAATTAGTTTTCTTTTTGCCACAAGTTAAATAACAGACTTACTAGTATCGTACATATAATATATAATGTGATATTAAAAAACGTACGGGTACTTTTTCCATTTTCTACTCATTCTCTTAACTTACCCAAAGGGTCGATTCAGTATTAAAAGAGAAGAAACGAGTAGTGATGTACTAGTATCGAGTGACGGTATCCTGAAGCTAATAAATTGTGGATAAAAGTGTCGAGTAGAAAAGTACTCGTGCCGAATGATGTAATACCGATACTTGCAAAGATACTTTTTCAGCTTCTACACATTGCAATACCTTACCAAAATTATCGAATCTCTTTACAGATCCAAAAGTATCGAGTAGAAACGTACTGGTATCGGATGGCGTAATACTGGTTCCAGCAGAACATTTCCCGATTGTGCCCATTTCGATATTTCACCGAAATTATCGACTGAGTCAAAGTATCGAGAAGAAAAATGCTCGTACCGAATGATGTAGTACCGGTACTTGCATTTTCAGCTTCTGCTCATTTCGATACCTCACCAAAATTATCGAATGATTCAAAGTATCGAGTAGAAAGTACTACAACCGGATGGCGTAGACACGTTTCCCGCTTCTGCTCATTTCGATATTTCACCGAAATTATCGAATGAGTCAAAATATCGAGTAGAAACGTACTAGTACGGATTGAGTAATACTGGTTCCAGCTGATACATTTCCCGCTTCTGCTCATTTCGATGCCTCACAAAAACTATGCTTCTTCAAGTTGCTGTAATTCTTATTCGGAGATCGTAAGATGTGGTCTGGTGTGACGTAGGTTTTAGAAAAACATTTTCTTTTACGTCGATTTCGATCTTTATTGAGATCATCTTCAGGGCTCAAAGTGTTTGTTTTCCGTGTAGACGTGTCATTCTTGTGTGTCGTGTTGAAGAGTGCCGGGGGCAGAAAACAAACACTTGGAGCCCTGAAGATGATCTCAATAAAGATCGAAACGTTGGCACGATAAAGAAAAGGTTTTCTAAAGTCACACAAGCTTAAAAAAAAGTAGGCATTAAGATTTTGAAACTTACTGAAAAACTAACTAATTAGACTGGTTTACATTCTTCATGCATGTTTATATACTATGTTCAACTGTTGTTTTCTTCTTTTCACCAGGTAATTACAAATAACTCAAAGTGTTTGTTTTCTGCGTATGAAGATGATCTCAATAAAGATCGAAACGTTGGCACGATAAAGAAAATGTTTTTCTAAAACTACGTCACACCAGATCGCATCTCATGATCTCCGAATAATCATTAACTAACGGTCACTAAACATCACACATTGCTGTAATTATTTCAATCTCCTGCAAGGCGCACTGGCATCTCTCAGAGTAGCGTCTTCGGTTCGTTACTATATTGAGTAAAAACTGCCGATTTCCCTTCCCGTCCTGATACAATAATCCTAACATACGCTTGTGACGCTGCCGTTTTATCCTACAAACCCCGTTAAACCTCATTGAGCTCTCCAGGCACACCTACATTCCCTTGTACAATGGCAAAATCCAAAAATATAACCATCACTCTTCCTCCAAACTCATATAATCTCACCCCTTCCTACCAAAAACGTCATCCGCTTCCTACGGCTGTATCTAGGCAAGCGTCTAACCTGGAATCCTCATACACGATTTAAAAGGACGATAACGATTATTTAAAGGCAGCATAATCCATACACCCAATACTGAAGCCAATATGGCCAAACTACGGGACATAGCTATGGGGTTCAACCAGAACTTCCAATCACCGCCCATACAGACTCTAAAAATCATCAATGCATAGATACATTTTCATCGTTCTATGTTTCTAACAGCACCATCCATAACGAACTAAATTTTTTTTTTGTAAAGCAAGTTGCAATATGAAGATACAAAAAATTCCACACTAATCTCCAATCCTACTCTCATCCTCATGTGCAAACAACTTTCGTTTAGTTCTCTTCCAAATAATCCTCCTCGATATCTGGAGGCTTGTCCTCAGAGAGTGCGATTACAAGTAATCCATGACTTAGGAGTTCTATCACTGGACAGCTTCATAATTCGATTTATTATGTGATTTATGTAAGTTATTGCCCCACGCACAGATATTTTCTCAATAATAAAAATAATAAATTCCTGCTATTTATAATAAACCGACTGTATTCATCAGTGCATTGTTTCATTACTGTAGTATGTTGTTTAACCTTGCCTACTATTTTCGCTTGTATGTATTTTATGTAATGTGATGAAATGATTCCATTAGTGAGAACTTGTGTACTCATTCGATATTGTAACATACTTTTAAAGTAATTGGAATTGTTTTATTATATGAAAAGAATAAAATAACAAAGTAAAACACATCAGGTTTCTCAAGTTACTGCTGAGTACTAGGTGCCACTACCCTGATTATTTAAAAAAAGCTGAGATTCTGAGATTTTTTTAAACAATTTGACTAAAGAAATAAGGAAAGAAAACTGCAGTAGGTCAGAAGGAAAAAGATATCCGAGTCTAAAATCACTAGGAACCTGAAAATAACGTTTAACAGCAATTCTAGCCATAATCGTATAGCAAAAATTTCAATAATGCCAGACTTTTTCATTATTTTCCGATTACATAGAGAAAGGAGAAAAAGTAAAATAGAGTGCCAGCGAAATTGTTTGGAGTTTCATAAAATCCTAGGAAACTCGTATTTTTCTAGTAGCTCAGTAGTATTATCTATAAAAATAAACAAATTTCGGCTATTTTTCAAAAATTCGTTGTTGGAAAGTGATGAGTTCACGCAAAATCGAAGCTTTCTGAAAGATTTTACCTAGTAAGTTTATTTGTTATGGTGTAAACAAGTTTTGCAGGTCAGGATGTTTACTAGATGCATAAAAATTGATCGGAGAAACTAATATTTTTCAGACTATAAGACAAATTTCGCTGTGTGGGTTATTCTAAATTTTTATATTGACTCGTCATCATTCACGCTGTGTGGAAATGAAATGGCAATGAACGCTGATTGCCTGTGGAGAAAGAGAACGGGCGAACGACTGTGTTTCCTCACCGCAGGTGCTGGCGAACATTGCCACAGTTTGAGGAGAAAGCACCACTCGGATTTGTCGAATTCTCTATTGGGACAGCCGTTAAAGGTTTCATTTTGAAAAAAGGCATTGCAAATGATAGAAATCAAGTGAAAAAAGAACCTTCGGAGGTGTGCACTTCGCCCTTTTATCGACGAGGCGAGACGAAGGGAAGAGACGTATATTTACCAGGGCCGGTGATGCAGAAATAATTCCAATTTCCTGCTCCTCTCCCCGTTCGGAGGACGCTTTGTCCCAACGACCTGAACGTAAAATCCTTATTGGTACAAGAAGCGAAATGCCACAACGCGTCCAACAGACCGAAACAGCGAGACTACGAGGACCGAGATGTTCGGAAACGACTAACCTACAGAGTCCCAGCAGACATTTTTGTTAGTTTACCAATTGGAATTTTAACGAACCCTGGTCATCACCTGCTCGTACCTGGTCCGACCCCTTCTATTTGCTCATAGTACTGAGCCAAATCTCGCCTGATACAGCGACAATAGGAGAACGACAATAAACTATAGTTGATATAACTGATGGCAGATTAAAACGAGGTTTTGTATTTTCCAAACCTATTCTATTTTTCCTAATTCTTTAGTTCAGTTCAATCGACTCGATCTTTTCCTTAAGTACTGTTAGATCATTGCCTGTTATTTGCTTCATCTCTCGGTCTTCTTGATATCTTTGGTTGTCTTAAGCTATGCTTCGCATTCGAATATGGGGCAGTGTTCTTCCTCCTCATTGCATAACCTACGAATAGGATCAAGATTGAGTCCATTTTATGAAGGTGGTTTCCCAGATGCCAGTGAGCCTATCTCTCCCCTGAGTTTTACCCTTTCCAGATGTAACTGTGCCTTCCAATTTGGCTGAGGGGTTCATCATAAGTGTACTGTGTCTGGCACCTCTGGAGTTCGTTCTTTTGTGGACCCATTGTGAGATGGAATTGTCCTTGTCATCCCAAGCATAGATTCAAGACAGACCCTCATCCAGTTTGTCTGCTTTTTTAATTAGAATTCCTTTGTGACCTGGAACCTAAAATATGTCCTGGTTTTATGTTTAGTAGGTTGTGGAGATTTTCGATACTTTCATTGACTATTTTGGATGTCTTATTTTCATAGTGCTTGTAAGACTGCTTGATTTTTTTTGTCAAAGGCACTTTTAAAATGTACTGTAGCATAAGCATTGAAGCATTCATGATTGCTGTACGAGGTATACTTCGCTAATGAGTCTGATTACTAATATTTTGGCTTCCACAAAATATATAGTAAATTCCTTAATTAATTTTTGAGTTTCCTTCCTACTTCCTTAGTCTAGTTCAATCTACTCAATCTTGTCTTGAGAAGTATTAGGTCATTGACTGTCATTGCTGCAATCCTTTTTTCCAGGGTCTTTCAAAGATAACATATACTGGCACTTTCTTCCTCATCACATTACCTACAAATGGAGACATTGCATATCACTTCCCTGAGCTGAATCATACTGAAAGGCAGCAGTTGACATTCAATCATTCTAAACAGAACGAGTTATCTGTACCACCTCAACTTTGACAGTTTGAACGATTTCATTGCAAATTAACACTGTACACATGGCTGTGTAAAAAAACTGCGCGTAAGTCTACAAATTTATTATCGACATTGAAACGAAGTATCGAGCTTAAATTGTTACGGTAATAAGTCTAACATCTAGTTTTTTAGAGTAACTGCTTTGTTTTTGATTTCTGAACAAAAGAAGACGATATCAACCATTAGATATCCGTCCTCTATTATCATTTTAGTCAAAAAGTAGTCAATAGTTTTTTCTAAAATCTGTTTTCATATGTTAACTTTCTAGTAGTTAAAAAGTTAATTTTTTTTACAGGAAAATGGGGGAGAGACGTGGAACGAAAGCTCTGGAGATGTGGTGCAAGAGGGTGACACAAGGGTACCCGGGGGTCAAGGTGGAGAACATGACCACCTCTTGGAGGGACGGAATGGCCTTCTGCGCCATGATCCACCACTTCAGGCCAGATCTCATGTAAGTGTTGTCAACCCCGTAGAAAGTTTTCGGTATTCCAGTTGGCAAAGGAACGAAGGGCCTCTTGTGAATGCAAAACACTTATCATTTCCATAGTTGGCGGAGGTCCATTTAGCACGATGGAACATCGGGTGAAATTGGCTTTCTACCGAAACGCTTGGTCGTCGGTTTTAAATAGTGGAGAAATCGTTGATAGTTTCTTCTCTCATCGTAAACAACATCTAATTCATTCAGTAGGATTTTATTGAAAAGATTGCCTTTTAGCAGATTAAACGTTAACAAGACAATTAGAACCAAAGCATAGGCCGGTTTGTGACACAACATACAGAATCATTTTAAAATTGATCAAGTAAAACGTTAAAATAGCGACACGCTGTGTTTTGCCACATGTTTTATTTTTTATATGACTGAAGGCAGTTTTAGTAAAGCATATGTACACCATATGGTCGTCAGTTAAAAAATCAGACGATCAAATAAACAGTTTAGAATTTTACAAAAATACAGAAATTTACAACAAAAAAAATTATATAATATTATTTTTATTATACACGTAAACTTAATCAAAGTTCAATAAGTGTGTGATTTAATAAATAGCTTAAGTGTGGACCCTGATCACTGTACTGGGTCCGTCTATTCTCGCTGGTTAACGTGGATGTACTCTCGCAGATCAACAAACACAATAAAACTGCTGTAAAATCTTATTACCAAGCTTTTATTAAATGAAAACTCCATAACCAAGAAATTGAGTCATTTGTGTTTTCTCATATTACCACTGGCCAGTAAAAGTCATATCACTCCCATGAGTTTTTCCCTAAGTTTATTATGTCAGGCAGGAGTTGGCATTATTCTAAACACGAACGAGTTATTTTACAAACTGAACAGTTTGAACAATTGCATCGCAGAATAACACTGTACACATGGCCGTCGGAGAAATTAGTAATCGATACTAGATCGCGTTAAAGAGAACTGTAGGAGAATAATCAATCACTGAAGAAGGCGTGAATTTAAAACGTGTTTGAATGAAACGTACTTAGGCGAGAGGTGATAGACCGAGTGAAGTGATCCGTGTCGATCAGTTTAACATGTGTTCACCGACTCGAAGACTAACAACCGCCGACTTCCGTTTGTTTTGTTTATTTTAATTACACTGTAACCACTCGAGAAAGAACTTGATTTAAATTAAAGTTGATTGTTCGGAACGGCCGATGATTTACTTTGTCTTCACCCTCAATCATTGACAAGTACTTCCGAGTCATCATCACAAACTTCTTGCCGGTGTACCTCAGGGTTCAGGCGTACCATGTGTACGCAGCTGACCTCCCATCATATCCTCAAACCAACTACCTTAGATCATACAGCTTTCATTGATCCATTTCCACTCTGAACCTTCAGGAACAACTTAAACTACTGAAATTCTAATCCAGAATCCACATAACCTTCACTGCAAAAAAGATCCCCTCCTAATTGCAGACATCTAAGACTACAATTGACAAATGCCTGACGTTGAATCCTCCCACAAGATTGAAATGACAGAGAACATTAACGACTTTATAACACCATTATGAGGCCGATGTAGACTTACGGACTGGAAGTTGAGCCATACATTTGAATATCCACCGCGTCCAAAGTGTCCAATCCATAATTCCTTGATGTTCACGTTTATGTGTCCAACGAAACTACCCATATAGAAACTTTCATCCAAGATGTAATCCATTCCCATTATCGCCAATTTCATACAAATCTCCCTATCACCATAAATCCTCAAATACAAAAACTCTCATCCGGACGAATTCCCTCTTACCCTCTTCGCCGATAAAATAGAGAAGACATAAGACTTAGGAGTTCTGCCAGTGGGTATTTTCTCCACTCTTGTTTATTGATGTTAAATACTCATTGTTACTTGTTACCCAATAGAAGATAGTCGTAATATACTTTAAATAAAAAAAATCCCCGCGCTCCTATCTGACGTTTCATCTTCTTCTGATTTACCGTTTCACAAACCGCCCAATCAACACTATTACGTTATTCTTAGTTCCTGTAGTTAAACGTTTTACCATCTAGGATAAAATTAGTTGTTTAACGCTTCTTTTATCGGGTTTTGACAGCGGTCGAAGAGACCTGTGAACGAAGGAAGCGAGTGCCTTTTTCCCCTCGCAAGTGGCCCATTAGGTCACGGGGGTCACCAGCCAATCCGGCAATTATACAGCAATAACCGACTCCCCGTGGGAATTGGACCCACGGACCCGGCAAATAAAATATCGAGGGAATGTAAAATAATGATAATCCGCTGCAGCTGGAAAAGTTGCGAGGGCTGGATTTCGGGAGGTGCCGTCGACCCGGTGGCCGTCTCCGCGTCCTTGTGTCCGCTCGTAAATCACAATCGATCCCCGCTCGCCGAACCCATTGTGCAATTTTTAACGATTTAGAAATTCGGGTTAATAATTTTGTTTTAATTTGTTTGTCCTTGGAAGGCCGTGGCTGACCTCTTTTCCTTCCCCTAGCCTTCGGGAGATCCTCGAAATTCGAACGAAACCAGAAATTCCCGTTTTCTTCGCGTCCATCGCTCTTCCGTCCAGCCCACTTTTCTCAATAGGGCTAACGACGTTTGCTTTTCCGGGTCATTCCACGTCCTGGGAAATGAGAAGCGCACAAAACAAAATCACCTACGCATAAATTATTTACTGCTGACGGAAAGCCTTAAAGACAATTTTAAAAGCGTATTTTCTTGGAGTTACCCAGTGTATTGGTGTTCATAAACTTAAAAAAAATCAACATCAACGAAACAAAACTATTACAAAAAGGACCAAAACAAAACATAAAATCCACTAACACAGACCGTAATATAACGCTAAGGGGATCGCTGTAGCCGAGTGGTTAGCGTGATAGACTCTCGGTTCGTGGACTCCGCGTTCGATTCCCACCGTCCCACTGGTCCTTTTTTTCACCATACCCTTTTTCCATTAATATAATAAAGGGCTTCTCAAAGTTTTTAGCCAGCGGACCCCCTCGCTCAATTATTTAAAATTAGATACTTACAGTAAAGGTAGTAAATTAAAGTTTTATAAATTAGCATTAGCCAATCCATTGCTAATTAGGTGATAGAGAGGGATATCAGTAAAAACAAACATTAGATTGACATAATTTTTAAAAAGATAGTTCCTACTCACAGTAAGTTGTTTTTGCAACGATCCGGATTTCGAGCATTTTAGCTCATCATCAGGTTGAAGGACTTCTACAACCACGTCTCTCGGCATGAATTGCCAGAGTCACATGCTTAAATTATAAAATCCGGAACACAAAAATCAATAATAATTATACAAGAGCGATATATTTTATTATCAAGCGATATATTATATAATCAATAATAATTATATATACAGCGAATATCTGGGTACCCTTGGCAATTCATGTCGGGAGACGTGGTTGTAGAAGTCCTTCAACCTGATGATGAGCTAAAAGGCTCGAAATCCGGATCGTTGCAAAACAACTTACTGTGAGTAGGAACTATCTTTTTAAAAAGGATTTAACACCACACTCACTCCATCATTTATCATTTCTATTAGATTGACATGCTTAAATTATAAAATCCGGAACACAAAAATCAATAATAATTGTACAAGAGCATGACAGCGAATATCTGGATACCCTGTTCCGATTCTTGGAAGCAGGGTTGTTTTATTCTATACAGTACTGAGCGTATATTGACAGTGAATGTATTTATTAGTGTGAATGTGTAGAGAAGACCGATGGCGAAATATTGAGCACCCTCAGTAGGAAAGTTATATAATAGGTGTAAAGGGCGATCGAGGAATATCAATTACTCCACTATCCTAGCTTGGTAAATGGTATGTAAGAACGTATTTAAGACGGAGAATGTGAGTGGGTTGGTTGGAGGGACTGGAAGGCATTGGGGCTGAAAGCTGTGGATGGCCCCTGGGGCCTAACTTCGGCGGCTGGACGGATAAGACCGAGGTTCGAATTCGGACTGCCAACACCCAAAGTGGTTGATTATCGAGGCCGGCCTGCCAGCAAATTGTAAATTAAAAACCTGGAATTGCCGGTGTTCTGCGAGAAGTAGCTCAACTATGTACACGCATATGCAGACTTGAGCTTATTTTTATAAATCCGTAATCAGTTAAAAACTGATACCTGGTGGAACAACACCCCAGGTCAAAAAAACAGGCGAATGGTTTCGAAAAAATCTCAGAATCACTGCAGATCATCAGAAAACAAGCTCTGCCAAAAAGAGGAGGAAACTGATACATCGAAGGCCTGAAAAAGAAAAGAATTTACTCAAGGGTAAAGAAAGAAGAATCCAATAACTGAGGAGCCACTATGAAAGCTATAGAGGCTAATAAAAAGTCTATAACTTATAGCTTATACGATAGAATGAAAAAAGTCCTATTTTGATGGACGCAGTGCGGAAGACTGCCCACATCGTCCTGCGACCTGTTAGTCGTAAAAACCCAAAAAGGGAATGAACTTCTTTTTCAAAACTGAGTATAAATAGCTGCCATATTTTTAACTTATAGGTTAGAGCAGGGCTTCCCCAACTTTTTAGCCAGCGGACCCCTTTCATAGAACAAAATCCAAGGCGGTCAGGTTTTTAAAATTCCATACTTGCAGTATTGAGTAAATTAAAGTTTTATAAATTAGCCAGCCCATTCCAAATTAGCTGATGGAGGGGGGATCACTACGAAAACCAACATTTGATTGAAATCCTTAACTTTATACATAAAATCCGGAACACAAAAATTGGACAGAACGAAATCAATAGGTAGGTAAAACTCGAGCCGATTTCAAAAGTAATAATTTGACTAGGAATGATAAATGAATTAATAGGAAGAGTGAGGTTGTTTTAACCCTCACAATTTGGATTGTTGGTTTTAATTTTTGATAGCTGTAGACGGATGTCTGGTTCAAGATCTAGACAGCTTCGGTGTTAATTATAGTGGCTCTATAGATGGAAAATCCGGATTCGCATAAGTTATGGCAAATGG